TCTCGCCTTCTCCTACTTCATGGTACAGCCACAAGCCCCCTCCCCATCCCCACAATGTCCATAGAGCCAAACCACAGACAGGGGATGCTGATGGCCTCTCCACTCCCCCATCCAGGCTGGAAACATCTCCCATGCCTTGAGCCTCTCCAAGGAGTTTCTCCACTATGGTATGTGGGACAACCTTGGCTGCAGAAGGATGACAGGAGAGGTTTTGGGATGCCCCTATCACCTCTGTGTGGCAACAGCCTCCTTCACCCCATTTCTCACCCCCACGTTGGGCAATTCCCCAGGGAAGGGGGGTGATGGGGACATGGTATTTTGGGTGACACCACCTCTCCGGCAGATCCCAGTAACCAAAGGGTGACAAAGAACGTGGCCAAGTATGAGAAGCTGCTGGAGATGGGGACGGGGGTGAGCGCCAGACCCCTGAGACGCCCCAACAGCACCCGCCTGCAGAGCCGGGACGCCTACGAGGAGCTGTGCCAGCGCCCCAGGGGGCAGGTGGGGCTAGCAGGGGGTGCCATGGTCACCCCCTAACCACTGTGTCCCCCCACCCCTTATGCCCTCCTTCGTCCTCTTTCTTCCCAGCCGGCCCCAGAGCGGATTCTGCACCTTGGCTGCTCCTATGAGACCAACAGCAGTCCCTACCTCCTCCTCCAGCCTGCCAAGAAGGAGATGGTCCGCATCCGACCCTATGTGGCACTGTACCATGATTTCATCAGCGATGCTGAGGCTGAGACCATCAAGGGGTTGGCAGGGCCCTGGGTGAGCTGTCCTTCTCCCCAGGGATGTCTGTTCCCTGGAGGAGGGTGTCCTGAGAGCTGAATGCAGAGATAGGAGGGGTTTTAAGGCAAAGCTCAGCCAAAGCCTTCTCCTGCAAGTCCAGGCTGAACAGGGCTTGGAGCAACATGGTCTAGTGGAAGGTGTCCCTGCCCATGGAGGGAGGGTGGAACTGGATGATCTTTAAGGTCCCTTCCAACCCAAGCCAGTCTGTGATTCTATGAGACCTTTGGGTTGATAAGCCCTACAAAAGATTTTTTGGGAGAAAACAAGTTCACACATGCACCTAAACCACTTCCCTTGGTGACACCCAGCTGTGTTGAATCTGTAGAACACCGTGGGGTGGGGATGTTTGGCAGCCAGCTGGTAGGTACCAACCTCGATCCTGACTGGGGTCTCTGCTTGGTGTGAGGGTCCCCATGTGCAGCAACCCTCCACCATTTGTCCTTCAGCTGCAGAGATCCGTGGTCGCCTCTGGAGAGAAGCAGCAGAAAGCCGAGTACCGGATAAGCCAGAGGTGGGAGCCACCCCCCGCCTTGTCCTCCAGCCAGTGGGACCACCATGGCCACCACCAAGGTGGCAGTGAAGCCATGCTGGGCAGGCCTGGTGCCTCCAGCAGTCCTACAAGGGTTAAGCCCAGCCTGAATTCAGGGGGCTGAAGGTGGGGTGGTCCCGCAGTGCGTGGCTGAAGGACACAGCTGACCCTGTGGTGAGGACCTTGGATCGGCGCATCGCTGCCATCACTGGCCTGGACCTGCGGCCACCCTACGCCGAGTACCTGCAAGTGGTCAACTATGGGTTGGGAGGCCACTATGAGCCACACTTCGATCACGCCACGGTCAGGGAGCTGCCTGGGTGAACCATGGGTGGGCTGTGGGGTGATGTTCCTGTGGTGCTCTTGGGGTGCTCTTTGGAGTGCTCCTGGGGTGGCCTCTGGGATGTTCCTGGAGGTGGTCCATAGGCTGGGCTCTGGAGTGGTCCCTCATGTTCCCAGAGATGAACCCTGAGGGTGGTCTTTGGGGTGATTCCTCAGATGTTCCTGAAGGTGGACCATGGGGTGGTTCCTGGAGGTGAACCCTGGGGTGGTCCTTCCGATGCTCCTGGAGATGGACCCTGGCAGGGTGGGTGGTCCCAGGATGGTGATCCCTGGGTGGGTGCCTGGGAAGGCAGGGGAGGGAGGAAGGAGGTGAGGGAAGAGGGGAAGGAGGGAGAGAAAAGAAGGGAGAGGGAGGGATTTCCCAGGGAGGGGGAGCTGCTTGGAACTTTTGGGGCATGAGGTGCTTCTGGGCTGAGCTGCATCAACACTGGACTGACCGTTCCCACCTCCTCACTCTTGGAGCAGTCCAGGAAGAGCCCCCTTTACAGAATGAAGTCGGGCAACAGGATCGCCACAGTCATGATCTATGTGAGTCCTCCCTCATTCCCACACCTGGAGACACGGCCCTGATGCAGTCTCAGTAGGGTTTTCAGAGTGAACGGGGTGTGAGATGGGCAAGGGCAGCCCTCAGATGCTGCAGTGGGGTGTTAAACGCCAATGCTTGGGCACTATTTTGGAGCTCGTGCTGCGGCAAAGCAAGGGAAATGCAGTTGGGGGCTGAGGGAGGAGTCGTGCCTCGCTTTCCTTGTGCAGAGCAGCTAGATCTTGGGAAGAGGGACAACCATGGCTCCTGTTTTTGCTCCTTTTCCAGCTGAGTGCAGTGGAGGCTGGGGGCTCCACCGCCTTCATCTATGCCAACTTCAGCGTGCCTGTGGTCAAGGTGAGGGTGACCCACTGAACCCCCAGGAGCAGGGAAGGGGGGATGCTGCTCCCTGGATGTCAGCTCTTGCAGGGAATTGTGCTCAAGCCTGCTCTGATGCCAAACCCCAATCCCCGGGGCTCCCAGCCCTGTTTTGGGGTGACAAACCTCAACCCCAGATCTCCCATCTATGTTTTGGGATGCCAAAATCCATTCTCTGGGATTCTAGCTCTGTTTTGGGGTGCCAAACATTAACACTGGAACTCCCAGCACTGGGATGTTTTGGGATGTCAAAATCCAGTTTCAGGGATGCCAGCAATGTTTTGGGGTGCCAAACCCCAACCCCAGGGATCCCAGCCCTGTTTTGGGGTACCAAAATCCAGCCCTGGGGCTCCTGGCTCTCTTTGTGGGCAGTCAAACCCTGATCCCACAGCTCCCAGCTTTGTCTTGGGGTGACAAACCTCAATCCCAAGGCTCCCTGATCTATTTTGGGGCACCAAATCCCAATCTCAGGGATCCCAGCCCTGTTTTGAGGTGCCAATACTCAGCCCTGGGCTCTGGCTCCTTTTGAGGGGTGTCAAATCCTGCAGTTCCCAGCTCTGCTTTGGGGTGCCAAACCCTAACCCTGGAGCTCTCACCTGTGTTTTGGGATGCCAAAATCCAGTCTCAGGGATCCCAGCTCTGCTTTAGGGTGCCAAAATCCAGTCTCTGCTCCTCAGAATGCTGCTCTTTTCTGGTGGAACCTGCGGAAGAATGGGAATGGTGATGGTGACACTCTCCACGCCGGCTGCCCTGTCCTGGCTGGGGACAAGTGGGGTGAGAGACACTGCTGGGTGTCACCCTGGGGTGACACAGGGTTGGATGGCCAGGGAACACACAAAAATCCTGGATAACAGGGAAAAAGGTCTCCAATATCAGCACAGAGTTGGAGAAGGGTGCAGAGGGACAGGACAGACCAGGATCTGTGTCCTTGACCCTTCCAGTGGCGAATAAGTGGATCCATGAGCACGGGCAGGAGTTTCGGCGGCCATGTGGTGCTGACCCAGGGGACTGAGCCATCGTGGGATCGTGGATGTGGCAAAACCATCCCAGCACAGGATGGTCCCAAGGGTGGAGGGAGAGGGAGGGGGGGAAGGAAGGAGGGAAGGGGGTGGAAGCGGAGTGGGAGGTAATCTGGGGGGCTGTCACTTGCTCAGCCACAACCAAATCGTGTGGAAATAAAGTCAAAGGGCACTAAAATGGAGTCTCTTTTGGGGTGACAAACCTAATCTTGGGGCTCCCAGAGCTGTTTTGGAATGTCAAAATCCAGTCTCAGGGATCCCAGCTCTGTTTCAGGATGACAAACCCTAACCCTGGGGCTCCCATCTGTGTTTTGGGATGCCAGAATCAAGTCTCAGGGATCTCGGCTCTGTTTTGGGGTGCCAAAACCTCAATCCCAGTGCTCCCATCCATGTTTTAGGATGCCAAAATTCAGTCTCAGGGAGATGGCAGCTCCTTCCACCCCTCCTGGCCCCCTGCCTGCCCGCAGACACATTCCCTTTCTCCAGCACGACCACAGCTCCTCAGTGACTGGAAGGCCAAGAGGAGGCAGCCGGGATCTCCAGCAGCACCTGGAGATCGGGCAGGAGCCCCCAGCTGATCCCCCTAGGCACTTCCCAGGGGAAACAACCTGGAGGAAGTGAGGGTCGAGGTGGAGGACACCATTGACACAGAAACTCTGTGTCCATCCAGCCTCATCTAGGAACATTTGGATGAGATTCAAATCCTCTGGGATCCCTGGGGGGGTCGAGGCAACCACGTCACCCCTCAGGCTCTTTCCTAGCTGGAATAAAAAAGGACAAAAATTATTAAGGGGGAAAGAAACAGCAGGCAGACCTCTCCCAAGGGCTATCCTGCTCACTTTCAGTTAAAAAATGTGCATTTATCACTCCTTGGCCGCTTTATGCAGCCCTGGATTAACCCTTCCATAGGCACACAGGGGTGGAGGGGAGCTGCGAGCAGCGTTCAGGCAGGACAGCAGGAGCTGGAGCACTGGGAAGAGGCTCCAGGAGCCCTTTGGGGGTCTGTTAAACCTGCCTGAGTGTGAAACAGCCCGGAAGATTTCCAATTTCCCCAAATTCCTGCTTTTTCAAACAGGAACAACCATGCCAGGACTCAGAGATGGTTGGACAGAGCACAGGTTACTCAGCAGCCCGAGGGCCGTGGTTTATTACTTCCAGATGTTTCTGTACACATGGGAGTTGGTCATGGAAAGGAGTGGGAAAAGCAAAAGCTGGTGCTAAATTCCCCATTTTCCCCCACACTACAGCACAGGGAAGGGATGGAGGAGCATTTTGGATGACAAGAGACTTCCATGAGTCACCAGAAAAACCCAAGGCTTGGGGATGGCACAGGAACAGCTGGATCAACACCTTTCCTCCACTGGCTGCTCCGAGGAGCCCAAGTACCACAGCTGAAGGGAAAGCAGGAATTCCTACTCCAGGCTTTTCACAAATGCTTTATTTGTAGGCGAGGGAAATGGACACGGAACAAGACAGGAACAGGATGTGGCTGACACGGGACATGGCGCGCGGTCTCTGGAGAACTCACACACACGCGCACACACACACACATACACACACATTTTCCATCTGGGAATAGCAGCACGTGGTTAAAAAAGGTCACCCTGCCAGACTGGGAATGCTCAGCCACAACTGACCAAGCATCCCACAGCAAAGCTTGGATCAAATACCTATCCCTATCCCGCTGTTTTGGGATGCCTTACAGACACGGTGCCATCAGATGGGTCACTACGGATGACACAACCAAGGGATGCAGGATTGGGCAACACAAAGGGCACTTCCAGGCTGTGAGACGGGTAGTAGATGCACCAGGGCCAGGATTTCTTGGAAGGGACAACCCATAAACTCAATTTTTTTACCTCAGCTGAAGATTCATGCCTAGATTTCCAAGAGCATGGAGCACCAGTTCAAACCAGCGAATCACTGGTTGCCAGGCTCTTTTCCCAGGCCTTTCTGCTCCCAAGAGAAAAGGGAATAGTGGAAGGGAGGATAAATGTCAGTGCCAAAGTTACAGAACCAGAGTAATTTGGGTTGGGAACAACCATAAAGCTCATCCAACTCTCTCCCACTAGACCACATTGCTCCAAGTGTCGCCCAACCTGGCCTTGAACACTTCCAGGGATGGGGAATCCACAACCTCTCTGGAAAACCAGGGCCAGAGCCTCAACTTAAATTAACTTTTTCCTAACATCTAATCCACCCTCCTGGGGGGAATTTTTCAATGCACGGTTCCGGTTAGAATGGGCTTCCTCAGGTTTTCCAGGCCTTTCTGTGGCCAAAAAAGGGAAAAATAACAACTTTATCTATAAAGGTATTACTTTTGCAAATGCCATCACAGCCTGAGGGGAGAATTCCATCTGGAAAACCCCAGGTCTGAGTTTTCATTCCATGTTCAAGAGTTGGTTTATTCAAAGCAAGACCGCGTGCGCTAGCAATAGAGGAAATAATCTTTTTCCAGCAATCCCAGTGCTCCACTCAGTCACTGATGGCTTTTTCTGGTGTGTATAATGTGGCAAAACCCGTCCTAGGCCTCATTTTTTCATTTATTTATTTAATTTATTAAATTAAAGTAAAGCCTGTGACAAACCAGCCTCCCAAACTGCATCTCATGCTCCTGCCAAGCCTTGGGATCTTCCACTGGGAAAGTTTCTACTGATCTTCAATCCAATAACTGGAAGAAAAGCAACTGTGATTTCTAAATAATCCAAAGGCTGCAGAAAAAACACAATGAAAAGCTGGGAGTTAGGGGGCAATTCACTCTGTTCCCCTGTTTTTCATGAGCTGAACAGAATGTGCCTTCTCTCTGCAGTCTCTTTTCTCACAGCCTGTGCTATCCCTCATCCAAATCCCATTTATCCCAGCCTGTAGCTCCCTGGAAACTGCAGCAGGAGCATTAATACTTCTCAGACAAAAGTACAGTCTCAAAAATGTACACGGCTTGACTGAACCAAAAGGAATTTCCCCTCCACCCACTCCCACACTGCTGCTGTCCCTGGAATTACTTTTTTTTTTTTTTTTTTAAATCCAGCACCAGTCCCTGAACTATTCCCACTTATTCCAGGCAAGGCAGGGCTGGGAGCTCAGCACAGAGGGACACACCATTAAATAGGCTGTTGAAACATTTATTTTCTTTTCACTCACCTCTCAAATGTTAAACAACAAAACAGAATCCTAAAGCCCCAGAGGCCACAAAGGCCCCACAGACCCCAGAGGCCCCAAAGGCCTCACATGCCCCATAGGGCCATGTAGGCCCCCTAGACTACATATGCCCCACAGACTTCAAAGGCCTCACAGGCCCTATGGACCACACGGGCCCCATAGGTTACACAGGCCCCACAGACCCCATATGCCCCACGGGCTTCAAAGGCTGCACAGGCCCTACAGGCCAAACAGGCCCCACGGGCTACATAGGCCTCATCAACAGGATTCCAAAAGTCATACCTTTTCCAGTGGTGCCTGTAGAGAATACAGAACTGATCTGCTTTCCACGGAGCGGTCTGTGTGGTTGGGATTTATTTTTCAGATCTCATAAATGAAACAGATAACACGAGGAATCCCTTGGATTCTCCAAGTTACTTACAAAGGAGGAATGTGAATTCACCAGGATCATCCAGGATTATGACCACAGGCTTAATTATCCCAGGAAGTGAGACTCTGGATACAGACACTGTATTATTTAATCCCTAACAATTTGAACAAAGGAGTTGCCTGGAAAGGAGAATTTTGCCAATTTTCAGGATATGTCTCAGGAAGGTATTATTTTGCATCTCAATTACTGAAGATCCATTGAATCCATAAGGAACAGGGTGGACATCAAGGCCACAGGAAATTAATGCAGTAATTCACGTGGTGACTTACAGAGGGAAATGCTGGGAACCAGCAATTCCCTTTAATCACCTGATGGCCAAAGTGCCAGGAGGGAGGAGAGCTCTCTGGAATGAGCTTTTCCTGTCCCCAGTCCAGGCACTTCCCACCCTGATGTGTCAGAAGCAAGGCCAGGACCGCTGTGCCCAGTGAATCAGAGATGAGTGGATTTCCACCAGGCTCAAAGTTAAACCCTTTGCCCCACCTGCACGTCTCTCAAATGCCAATAATTCCTGATGGCTCTTGTCATGGGATATACACATGAATGCAAATGACAGCTCCCAAATCACAAAAATCATCCTACAGCAGCAAAGAGTTATGGACATCAGGCAGGAAAAAAGGGATTTCAGATATCCACTGGGAAAATATTGAGGAAAACTGCTCCAAAACATGTCTGCTCTTACACTCACACGTGATTCTGTCTAGGGATAATTTATCCCTGAAGAAAAGCTCTCTGTGTATGTAGAATTCTGGAGGGCAGGCAGCAAAATGATCCAGAAGCGACAATGGAAAGAAGGTCCTTCCTCCCGTTCCTGGGGGAGCAGCTGCCTCATCTCTGCATCCACATCAGCAGGACTGACTCCAAGCTCTTCCAGGGTTTCACCTACAGCCATTCCAATGATGCTGAGCAATGCTTAACTGCAGCTACAAGAAGGGAAGCACAAACACGTGCCAGGGGCAGGAAACAGCCTGTTGGCCATGTTGTTCCTGCTGCTCCTGGGTCTTCCCCATTAGCGCAGGCCCAGAGTCCCCTTCTTGGGATGTGTCTGCAGTAGATGGAGTTATCCAGGCTATTCTTCCCAGAAAGGACTTGAAACAAGTACTAAGAAAACTGCAGGACTGAAACGGAGCTCACGGCTCCTCCTCACCTGTTTGAGTTACAATCTCATTCAACTTTTCCCAGGAAAGTGTCCTCTAGGCTCTTCTCACACCTTAACCCCTAAAGCTGGTGTTGGTGAGATGAAACCTGAGCTCTCAACAAAGTCAATTCCTCATCTGCTTTAGGGGAAAGAAAATGTGTATATATAAAACCCAAATCTAAGGGGCATTTCCAAGATGACTCCACAGAAAAATCCCGAAGCTTTGGCTGTGCTGCAATGCCTTTGGTGGATCTGGACTGTCCATGGCCCTTCTGCAGTTGGGTCCAAGAAAGCCTGAAAATTGATGGAGATTGGTCTGATCGACTACTTGGGATTCCAGGAGGTCTTTCCTTGTGGCAGCAGAGAGGAGGATCCCACTCCCAAGGGTATAAAGAGCTTTTCATGGTCTTCAGTAGAAGCTGCTTCCCAGCAAGGAAGTCCCTAAGAATTTAGACTGGAGAACTAGTTCTAGGGGATGAATCTCACACCAACTTCCCACTGCTGCTGGACTGGGAGATGAGAGCATATGGATACATCACAGTGGCCTCTGGTGCAGTTTATTTACAACAGGAATCAGTGCTGGAGAACACCAGGATATTAACAAGCAGGAAACACACTAGGAGGAAAAAAAGACAATGGAAGAAAGATCCCATATTAAAATACAAGTATTCTCTGCAGATTCTGCAATAGCCTAAATTTAGCTGCAAAGTCCTTTGGTCTTCTCCCTTTCTCCCATCAACCTACACTATATTCTTTCATTGAACTTAAAATATGCAGCTCCCAGTCCTGCATTTCTACTGTTTCATCCCCAAGGGCACAGGATAAAGGGGGAAAAAAGGAAGAGGTCATGCAGCAATAACTCTTTAGCATTGCCAGTCCAGTGTCACACATTTTGGGGCTTCCAGCTTTTGTTGAGGAATTCTTAGCTAAAAGCAGGAAGACTTTTCAGGATTGCTTTAAGAAACAGGCTGATTGTACCACTCACCTGAAATATGATCCTAAAACACCTTCTGTGAGGTTTAACTAAGACTTTGGGAGTTTTTCCACTCAACCTTATCAGTCACACCCTCCTCTCACTGCTGATCACAGAGGTCTGGCTTCCATAGTTCATTTTAATAGGAAAACACATGGGATAAAGTATAGAAAGTCTGGAATGTGAAGCACACAGCTTTACCTGCCTCATTTCATCAGTATTTCTTAGCCAAATAAGTGTGATGGAAGTTGTTTGCAAGGCCTTGATTACTTAAATAAAATATTAGTTAAGCTAAATGCCATAAAATTTGTCATTTTGCTTCCCTGGAAGGTTATAAAGGAAGGAATCAGCTTTGCTCCTCCTCTCCAAAGGGGAAGGACATAAGAAATTAGCACATGAGAAACTCAGAGGGAACACATAAACATCAAATGCATTAATGGCTGTGACTCAGAGCTGTTTGTTTACCTGTGGTTTTTAGCATTATGCCAAAATTCCAACCTCCCACCTTGAGAGCCAAACTGGCAGCAGGAGCAAAAGTTCTGCTCAAAGGCAGCACAGCTCCAGCTTTCATGAATCCTTACCACTGGAATCCTCCAATGGGCTCTGTAAACCTGTGACGGATCAGAAATGTTGCAACAGCTTCAGCAACCTGAGGAAAGGAGGAAAAAAAAATCAGACAGGATTTAAAGGGGCACAAAGAGAACAAGAAATTCAGGCAATTTTCCAAACCTGCAGCATTCCCAACAACAGTTCATGCCCTTGGGGTTCTCTTGCTGAGTCAAGTTTGCTTCTTTAAAACAAGAGCTCTGTATGCTTATATATATATATGCTCATATATATATATATATATACACACACACATATATGCACATACACATATATATATGTATGTAAAATGCTTCCAGTTTGACTCTGACACTGATCTTACAACCAAGAACTGACCAAATTTTTCTCCACCCTTTTCAGTAATTCTTAAAACAAGGTCTGGTAAAATCACAATTCAAGTTATTCCTATAAAGAGCAAAGCAAGACGATAGCCTGACAGTAGCAATACTGGAATGGTTTGGGTTGGAAAGGACCTTAAAACTCATCCAGTTACACAGGCAGGGGCACCTTCCACCAGACCACATTGCTCCAAGCCCCATCCAACCTGGCCTGGAACACTTCCAGGGATGGAGCAGCCAGAGCTTCTCTGGGCAACTTGTGCCAGGGCCTCCCCACCCTCACAGGGAAGCATTTCTTCTCAATATCCCATCAGTATGTTTAGATAAAAATACCTATTTCAGACTGTAAAATGAAGCACAGAAAGGCTGAGTTTTACACTCACAGCCGTCAGAGCTTTAAAACAGACATGTTCCCAACCACATTCCTGCTTCTATCTGGACACTAATTCCAGCAGTGCCCAGAAGGAGCACTGCTCTGTCAGTCTGAAAGCTGTTTCAGGAACATTTGGTTTCCATTTGGAAAATGTGAGCCACTCAATTCAACAAAACACAGACCAACTCCTAAAGCTGTAGCTTGGTGCAAGGGATAGTGGGGAACCGCATGAGGAAAGGCAGGAATGAGAAATCCACACTGGGAAGGATTAGGTACATCCCCAACCCAGCATGTAACATCTTAACCCAGGCTTTCCAGCCAGCTTCAAAATCCAAGCTGCTTGTGAAAAGCCAGTTGCGGTGCCAAAAAAAACACCCCTGAAGTATAATCTCTGCTCCATGGTAAAGAACAGATCCCATTTGCATTTAAGCTGGGACAACAATGCAGCTTCAATCCCATGGTGGGGCTCACCTTGTCTGGAGCATCTTCATGGACTGCATGGCCACACTGTGGGAGGACCTGCATCTGGAACTTCCCTGTGGATCAAGAGTCAGCACATGGATCTCACATTCTTTACCAAGAAATCTCACTAAAGGCATCTGCAAAGAGGGATGAGGGATGGCGTGGAAGTCTGGGCAAACTGTACAACACAAACAGGAGATGGTCTCCAAAGAATACATGGATCAGCTGCATAACTCACATTCCCCAGGTGTAACTAGAGCAGGTTCCCAGGAGTTAAAAGGAAGTTAAACTTCTCAGAGCCTCTCAATGTAACTCCTTTCAGAGTTGAAACTGTTACAAATCTATCTCACGGTAACATTTATCCTGCTATCCAATACTATTTTCCAGTACTGGTTGCTCTGGAAAGCTGGGTTGAGTTAAAAAACCAGCCTAAATCCCAAAACATTAATCTTGGTCTGATGTCTGCCAGAAACACCAGCAGATGGGACAATTTTAGATGGTTGCAGGTGTTCTACATAGGAACATTAGGAATGTAGCTAGAAAGGGGGGAAAAATGGACCAGAAAGAAGCCCTCACAGACAATATGATCCAAGAGAAATGTGGGGGTTCCACTGCTGGAACATTGAACACTGGACTGAACAAAACCCATGGCAACAGTCCTTCACAACTTTTAATTCACCCTCTTGCTCCTCAACTTCCCCACTTTTCCTCGAGGGTAAGAGTTAGAGAACACTTTGGGATGGGCTAATTCTTTAATGCACATTTGTTTGCATATAGACTGTACCCATAGCAACAAGCTGTCCTCCAAAAAGAGCATTACAGTAAGGCTGGAGTAAATAAATATTTACCTTGCATCTGCCCAATGGTCAGATCTTTATCCAGCCTGTCAACACCTACAATCAAATAAACAGATGTATTGGAGAAAAGCCAGGGAGAACACTGCATTTTGAAAGGACATTAGCTTGAAAAACACAAAATAAACAAATCTGCCACCCACCATGAGGAAATTTCACTGCTGCACCTCTAGACCATGAAGTGACAGGAAAGAAACACAGCCAAAAAATGCAAGAGCACATCCCTCTCTACAACTTCAAATGAGATTTATCTTGGTCACACACTTTACTTCCTACTAAGGTACAAAAAGGGCCTAAGCTGTATTTGGTTTTCAGTTGAGAAGTTCAAATCACACCACAATATTTCAAAAGACATGGAAAAGCCAACACGGAAGAGGCAGGTTTGCTATTCCCAGAGAAACACAGCAGCCAAATGTTGACCCTATTCTCTAAAATACAAGTGGGACATCACTGAACACCTAAACAGGACTGGAAGAGACACGTACCAGCTAAAAGCAAAAGCTTTGGAGTGGGACAGCTCAGGAAGAGGTTGGATAAACCCCTGAACCAGCCATCCCAGTACTTTTCTGTTTTAGCCAGTTCAATCCGCCACGTGTATAAATGTTCCTTCTTTGTCTGCAGAGAGGAGAGAGAGCTCTGCATTACTGATCAGGAAAACAGCAGGAAGAAAATGAACTCAGGGAGCCACTCGGAAGTGCACGTATATGGAGATATATATAAAAAATACTGGCTCCCTCTGGTGGATCACACACGTCCAGGGGATGACCCTCCCTCCTCCAAATTTCTTTCCAAATCAGAGTCCAACTACACGAGTAGGAAACAAAAAAGTCAGCAAGAGCTACACCAAGAGCAGAAGAGCCTTCAAGACAAGGCTGAGCAACTCGGGGTAATCAATTTGCTATTTTTTTTTCTAACATAAATAGCTCACAAATTGTTTGAATGTTCAGACTTGGAGTTTTCCATCGCTGGAGTTGCTCCTTTTCAAATCAGAATGATCTGGATAATTACTGGTGACTACTCTTGCATGGGAAAGTGAAAATACAGCAAGAAACTCCCTACCTCTGTGTCATCTTCTTTCTTCCTTTTGTTGACAGAGCCTCCCCCTTCCTCATCCTCTTCCTCCTCCTCCTCCTCCTCTTCAATAATTCCCTCCACTATGGCTTTAGGACATTCAGGACTGGCAGCCCCTTCACATCTGTGAAAATAAACCCAGAAACTGATTCCTTGCCAAAAGAAAAAAACCTCCAAACCAAAAAAACACCCAGAATTCAATTTAAAGTGTTCAGCAATTTCTCAGGTACCGAAAAAAAAACCCCTCAAGTTTAGAAGAAGCTGCAGATGAAAGACTGGGATTGCGTGAATGTGCAGCACATGTATCCCGTGCAAACAGAAATGCCAACTGCTCCTTAGACGAGGCAGAAGTGGTCAAAAAATCAACTTAAGTTTTTCTTAATGGAGTGTGAGACATTTGTAAAGGTTTCAGGTACATCAAGGATTCAAGTGCCAGGAGCAGGTTACTCTGATTCATCCCCAAACCCACCTCAGATCACTCCTCAGATAACACTTATTTCTTAACATGTGCAGAAAGGCATGAAAATCAAGGAACACTCAACAGTTAAGCTTTTTAAAACACAGTGGATTTCTTTTAAATCTTTGTGGGTTTTTCTCAAAGAAATTTTCCTTTTCAAGTGCACTCATGTAGCAAATATTGTAAAACAGACTAGATAAGCTCTAAAAAAAAATAAATAAAATAAACCAAAAGCAACCTACTGTTTGACTTGACCGACCATAGAAACTCTGGCAGATTCGAGATTTCTTATTTGTCCACTTTTTACACTAGAAAAAAATAATAAGAGAGAAATATTTACCGAAGAGATTCAGGAACCAGCAGGCCCAGAAACAGGAGCAAAATCCCTGCACAGTTCAAGATTTCCCCAAACCCTGTTGTCAGAAGGAATTTGGAGTGGCTTGTGCTAAAAGTCAACTTCAACACCCCCCCCCCTTGTTTGTAACTGTCAATTTAAAATTCATGTGGGAAAAGTGTTGGTAGGGAAACAGGGAAGACAAGTGATTTTAGAGACTAATCCATCCCTTACCTCCACTCGATGGCATTTTCAAGTGACTTGAATGTTTTGGGGCGACTTCTCAGGAAGTTCTGCATGCTGTTCAATGCATCCATGGCTGTTCCTAAAAGCAAGTATTTCAGCTTTGTGGCATCTGATGAAATCATTGCCATATCCCTTTATACAGAACTGGCTGCAACACCTTCAGAGAGAGCTGGAGCTCTCCTAATGTTGTTAAGGAAAGTACAGTTTTCCTAAGCCAATGATCGACAGTGGGAAATTAGTATTTGAAAAGGTAGGACATTCAGATTGTAAATAAGAAGGAAACATTAATTAGCACCAGGTATTATAGGAAAAGCCACCCTTTTCTCCACTAAAAAGAAAGCAATTAGCAGGAAAAAAGCAAGCAAGGGAAAAGGAGAAGGGAGGGTTACACAGGAAAGATTTTTGTGTGGGCAGGATATTTTAGGAGGATGGAATTGGTTTAAAAACTGGGCAAAACTTTTGGCATCCGGGGGATTTGGGGCTAAAGGAAAAAGTGGAAGGGGAAAGCCCACCCAAAGGGGTGGAAGGCCATCTGAGGGAACCCACACTCACCTTCCACGACATCGATCATGCACAGCCCCAGCAGACTCGGCACCAGGTTTGCGACCGCGGTGTGCACCGCGATGGCCCCCCCCATGCTGTGCCCAATCAGCATGATGGGGGGGGGAAGGTCCCCATACAGAGCTTCCACCACATTCCCAACGTCTCTGCCAGAGGGAGAGCAAACCATGGTTGGCATCTCCACCTCTACATGAGGAGAAAGTACCGATCCAAGAGAGATTTCTGGCTTCACATTGTCTTTTAACCCACAGGGAACAAGTTTTTTCTCCTGGCACTGCTTCACCTCGGTATCAGTGAAGGAAATCCTTGAAGCCAAAGCTTTCCTGAACATCCATGTCATTTCCGTTTTTATTAAAAGAAAGTTCTTATTTAGAAGGTACCCATTTAAAAGATACCCATTTAAAAGATACTTGAGCAACCCACTCTACTGGAAGGTGTTCCTACCCAGGAGGAAATGAGCTTTAAGGTTTCTCCCAATACAAATTTTGTGATTCCCCAAGGAAATCACTTTAGGTTGACATTTGCTGGTGGGAATGTTAAATAAAAGGTGAGAAAAAGTTGTCAAATCCTCTTGCATGGAAGCACAAAGCAAGAAATTCATTGTTCTGAAAGAAGAACTGTTTGGAATTAAAGGGAGAAAATAACTGAGCCAAACTGACCAAGGCAAAGGTGAACAACATTGGGCATGAGCAAAAAGACTGACTTTCTACAAGCACAGATATCACAAGGCAAGGGGCAATTTCCCCATCTTTTCCATAAGGAACCTTCTTAAATTGAAGCTGTGACTTCTTGACATTTTCCCAGGATGGGAAAGCTGGATGATGTGATCCTCAACCCCCAAAGCAGCAGCAGAGCTAAGGGTTGAAATTTACTGAAGAACACTGTAGTTTAAAGACATCCCAGTTTCTTTCCTGACTACAACCATTCTAAGGAACCTGAGCACTGAGCAATACTGAAAACAGAAAAGAAGGGAAAAAAATAGCTTGACTAGCTTGTTTTCTCCGCTAGAGAAAATTGCTTGAGGATTTGATTTAAAAGAATAAGCATAAAGCCAGCACTAATTTAAGGCTCCTATTTAAAAGATACTTAAGATTAACTTTCAAGCTCATTGCTAAGAGGAGGGAAAGGTTTGAAAACAAAAGGGACTTGTTTTCCCCACACAGTGGTGCTGCTCCAGTTCTAAAACATTCTAATTATTTCATCCGGCATGTCCTCAGGACAGTAACACACCAGGGCCTGACAAGGCATAAGCAGCAGGAATAAGGTACACAATGGAAGTCAGAATCCATTTCACACATGGCCTCCCCACAACAAACCAAGTGGATTTGTCCATGAGAAGGTTACAAAATCCTTCCTGATTTAACTGTAGTCATAGCAAAGAGTCTCTTTGTACTAAACATGGGCAGAGCATAATGTGCTTTACAGTGGGTATTTGCTTTTCTTACAGCTTTGTCAAGAGGGGGATTTGCATACCAAAGCAGGTCGTGGTAGTTGAAAAAAACAACCCTCTCTATGCTTGAAAAACCTCAGTCTGTGGCCCAGACTTTGGGGGTGCCACCAGTCCAAGGTGGCCCCACTCTGGATGCTTGCTCCAGGAGCTGAGGGAGAGCCAAACTGGTGATTTCAGGCTAAAATCCTCCTAGAGATCTCCAAGGAAAGCATTCCTCTGCCATTACAAACTCTCTAGCAAGTGTTGTAGGTTTAAAATCCTCACTGATGTGGAGCCACTGAGTTTACAAACTGAGAGAACCCAGAGAATTACTCCAGTTTGGAATCTGACTCAGCTGGCAAAGATATAATTTCAAACAATTTCAAACTGTCCTAAAAAGGAACGAAAAGAAGGGACAACTACCAGAGTCACATGAAGTGAAATCTCCCAGTTCTTTGAATTAATGTTTTATGTCTTCAAGTAGTTTATTGTTCAATCAAAGAAAATAAGAGGTTTGTGAAAAGAAAAATGAGCGTAAACTTCCTTACTTGGACATAGTCTCTGCAGACAGATCCTCAGGATTCCTAACTTTTGTTTCTCCTAGGAAAAAAAAACAAACAACCCCAAGTTAAATTCACTTCAGTTGAAAACATTCAGGCCCTCTCAGGACTTGGAGCAGGGGCTGTACAAAGCTTTTTGGCACAGATACTAACAGTGAGCCTACAGCAGTGCACATGAATAATTAAGAAACACAGAATTAATAGGAACAGTTATTGCACTATGGGTTGGAAATACTGCCCATAACTGTGCTGTATTTGCAGTGTATCTTAAAATTAAATAACAGCCCTTATTTCTCGTAGTAAAGATTACCTAAAGGTCATGGAAATACAAAGGAGGGGGTTGGTGGAAGGAACAAACCCACCAGTGCCTTGCACAGAAGTTCAGGGAGTCTCAGCTCCTGGCAGAAGCCACTTTTCCATCCCTGCTTTTGAATAAAAATTGGGATGCCTTAATATGCTTTCTTAGTAATTTTTGCGAGGAATTCACTACATCTTTAAAAAAACCAGAGAGTATAACACACTGATGTGATCCCAGGTTTATGTGACTTACCATGGCCTCGGAGATCCAAAGCCACGATCCTACACTGGATCCTGTTAATGATTGCAGACTGCAAGGAGGGACAGAGAAAGTGGGATTAGCAACATCAAGCATTCCCTAAAAACCCTTCATTGCCAACAAAGTGGCTGAACCTGGATTGGATAAAGTGTTACAGACAGCAAGCAAGAATATTCCATAAAATGACCCTTAATAAACCAAAAGCTCCATCCTTGCCACTGCTAACGAGGACATTTATTTCCCTGTGCATCAAACACTACAAACATTCACCAAATCATGAATTCAAGCTCTGCAGCACCTCTAAAAACTGAAACAGCAGTGGGATTATGGACACCAAAGGAATTCCCTCCCTCTCCAAGCCCCAGATGGTACAGAATGAACTCCTGGTAACATGGCTGACATGACAATGAAGCAGCTGCTTTGCAGCACACGTTCAATTTGCTCTCAAACAATAGAGTTTTACAGGCTGAAATGTATAAAAACTGATTAGTCCAAAGAGGTCGGGGGGAGGAACAAGTGAATAATTTTTTTTAAGGTAAAGTAGGGCTGCAACACAATTATGGCTCTATTTGTCCCTGGCAGATCAATGTAACTAAGTTATTTCAGGTATCATAGAGATTAAGTGGCATTCTTTGTTGACAGGAAGACCTCTGTGTTAAGCAATCATTGATTATTTAAATAACAGCCCTGCAGGAACAGGGAAATTTGCTGAGGAATTCTTAATAGAACCACCTACATAAATGCCAAAAGCTACTCAGCCCTCTTATTTTGATTTTTCAGTTATTCAACTCCTAAACAGCTGTAGCAGTTGCTCTTCCAAACCCCACTGAATCCAGAAGTTAATATTTTCCAGCCCCTAAAGACACTGAAAAACTGCCATCTGCAAGGTGCTTATGCACCATAGCAATAATTTAACAGAGGTCTGCTGCTAAAAATCAGACTACTGTTAGTAGGCAGTAAGGAAAGAGGATCATTGGTGTGATGTGAGAAAGTGGAAGGATTTCCAGTGCCCTGAGCTTTATCCAAACTGGAGTATTTTGGCCATGAGAAGTCCAGACTTGTCACTCAAGACGTTCCCTGCTCAACAAGCAAGAGAAATGAGGAACACACTGCTCCTGCAGGTTATTTGATTTATAGATGGTTACCCTCAATGCTTCTCAAATTGTGTTATTTTTTATTTTGAAGGAGGGGTTTGGGTTTGTTTTCATAAGCTCTGGTTCATCTCAAACATTCAACACTTGATTGCTTGGGACAAATTCATTCCAAAATGCACAAAAGACATAATTTTGGAGCAGGTGCTAAAACTAACAAGTATTACAGACAAATATTACAAAATTACAGTCCAGTTGGAAAAGCATTTTTGTGGTGTGTCCCATCATATTATAAGATGGTTTCATTAGGATTACTCAACAATCCTGTTGGGAATTTAAGAGCAGTTGCTAGTGAATCCTGTAAAATGGTCATTCTTGGCAGCCTTTAAGCAAAGATTGAAATGAGGAAGTCACCATTAAAGTGCTAAAAAGTATTAAAAAGTATTAAATGGGAACAAAGGCACAGGGAAAACATGGAGGTGTCACAATTCCATGGAAGTCATCCTATTATTTATTAAGGACACCAGAGAACTCAAAGAGTTGCTGGATTAAAAAGGTCCTAAATAAACATCCCACGCTGCAAGTGACTTGACTTTATTTGAAGTCTTCAGTTTTCTTCCTTAACTTCATTTTTCAAAGGGAATGGGTGGGATGGAGGAATTCTGGCTTGGTCAGTCCCCACAGCCACTCCTGGCTGGCACCACCTCAGTTTTTGTTTCAGAGAGTTTCAGTTTGTGTTTCAGAGTGGTTTGAGCAGCAAATGAGGTTTCTCAGCAGGACCTCAACCATGCAAAGATAATATTGTTATTATCTTTAATAATATTGTTTTCTTGTGTTTCCCAGAGCTGAATCCACACTCACACAGCTACATTTCCACACACATTTATTTCTCTCAAGCAGCAGCTTTACTTACAGTAAACACAGCCCAGGACAGGGCAGAGTGGCCTCCACCGTGTAGCAGCAGCAGGACAGGCCCCTCTAACCCACTTTTGTAAATTCGAAAAGTGTATGAACAGTTAAGGGCATTCCAAGGAGTTACTCAAAGTCACTTGGATTTGGAGCCTGCAATACCCAACAGTGTTTTATTTCCACCCTTGTGTACTCATTTCTCCCCCTGATTTTGTTCAAGCATTACTCGGACAAAACGTAACTGAATTTAAACTTCAAGAGTTGTTTTCCAGCTGCCCAGTTTTTCTCCTCCCCATAATTCCCACATCTCCTGCCCTCACCCTTTTTCCCCCTGTGCACAACAGTGAATTGAACAACTGAGAGAAAATTAGAAAGCCACTAAGCCACAGGAACTGGAACCCCTCTGCTCTGGAGACAGGCTGGGAGAGCTGGGGGTGTTCAGCCTGGAGAAGAGAAGGCTCCAGGGAGACCTTAGAATCCCTTCCAGTGCCTAAAGGGGCTCCAAGGCAGCTGGAGAGGGACTTTGGACAAGGACCTGGCGGGACAGGGCAAGGGAGAATGGCTTCCCACTGTCAGAGGGCACTGCTAGATGGGATATTGGGAAGAAATTCTTCCCTGTGAGGGTGGGGAGGCCCTGGCACAGGTTGTCCACAGAAGCTGTGGCTGTCCCATCCCTGGAAGTGTTCCAGGCCAAGCTGGATGGAGCTTGGAGCAACCTGGTCTAGTGGGAGGTGTACCTGCACATGGCAGGGGGTGGAATGGGATAAGTTTAAGGTTCCTCCCACCCCGAATTACTCTAAAAGGTCACTGAGGCAGAGCAGAGGGCACCAGCCCACCCATTAATTCAGCTGCTTCCACAGTTCACATCTGCCCACAACCTTTCATACGAAGCTGAAGCTTCTCTAAAGGGAGCAGAAAAAGATCCCAAACAACTAAGATTCGCTTAAATTTGGGATGTTTATGTGCACAACCTATTCAAATAGATCTATTGTGCTTTTTATTTCATACTGGGGCCTCAGGGGACTGCATATTAAACGCAGACAAGGTGCACATCATGAATCACTATGGAATAACAGAATGGTTTGGTTTGGAAGGGACCTTACAGCACACCCAGTCCTACCCCCTGCCATGGGTAGGGACCCCTTCCACTAGAGCAGGTTGCTCCATGCCCCATCCAACCTGGTCTGGAACACTTCCAGGGCTAGGGCATGAAGAATTCATGGGATCAGCTGGACAAATCCACAATGACAAGCTGAGTAAAACAACAAGGAGAGAGAATTCTCTCACTGCAAAGCATCATATGCTACTGGAATTATAGGAGTAATTACTAAATTGGTATTTGGAGAGAAATAGCCTGAAAGTTTGGTTTCCCTAATCTTGGAGAAGAAACAGCTGCAGAAAAAAACCTGGCTGGCACTGCCAGAAGACTCTGATGGCATCACCACCTCAGCCAAAAATTTGGAAGTATTTATCAACATCTAAGTGTTGATGTTGAGGTTGACCTGTTGTACTGCTGAAGTTGCTAATAAAAATCAATAAACAGCTTTGATCCTGATAGGGTTTGAATTACGGGAACCTGCTGAGTGTTTGCCTGCAAAAAATGGTATTGAGTTGGTGGAAATACTCCTTTTGAATTAATGATTACTAAAGAAACAATGGCCTTGCTAGGAAGAGCTTAAAAGGGATAGTTCTAGTTATTGATAAGGAACCCTGCAAGGGACATAATGGAAGATGAGAAGAAATACATGAAAAAGCTGAGGAGAACCCCAATAAACCTCAATAAATATGTGATACCACCCCAGTCACTGAGATTACGACAAGTTAAATCTGCCAAATAAAAGGATATATCCTTGCCAGTCTCATTTTCCACCACAACATCCTCCATAGATTCAAAGTACTGGCTCCAAAGCACTGGTGAAAAATCCCTCTTTCTTCCAGGGCTGCAAGACAAAAAAAAAATCCCTAAGAAAGGAGTTATTTTTAAAATGTTCTTCTGAAATTGGCATCCAGGCTTCCCTCCATCCACTGAAGAGAACATGCTGGTGTTATGCAACAGTTCAGGACTGGAAGTGAAATTCCCACATAACAACAATATTAAGGATTTTATGGTCAGTGAGGAAATCCTTCCTTTTTTCCCCTAATTGTTACTGCTATTGAGGAGAACTCGTGGAAACACAGAGAGAAGAGTATTTTCCTCATCAAGTAATTCCAAGAAAAACTGGAAAATGGTGATTTAGACTACACTAAGCCAAGGGAAAATAAAAGGAACACAGAATACGGAGATATCATCCCAGTACAACCTCTCAGTTTGCAGGTGCTTCAAAACAGAGTCAAAAGTCATTAAATACTTTGTATTTATAATACTTTGCATTAAATACTTTGTAATTTTGCTCTGGCCTTGAGGCAAACCTGACACTCAGGTGGCTGGGAGTACTCCAGAGCCTGGAACACAGGAAGCCATCCCAAATTTATGACTCAGTCCATGAATCATAATTTAAAAAAAAAAAAGAATATGTTGCTCTCAGAAGTCACCTTGACCCACAGTATTGAAAAGCAGTGTCAGATATTTACTGAAGGTTACTAATTTACCACCTACTACCTGGCACAGATTATAATATTCCTAGAAATCCCCTCTAATTTTTGGAAGAAGTAACATTCAAACAGAAAGTCAACCTGTTCCAAAGGCTAGAATTGAAGACTGTGGTATAAATTAAAGTAATTTATAAATCTAATTTATAAATTATTTTTTAAATTTAATTTATAAATTAAAAACATTGTTGGAAGCAGAATAAATAAAATCCATCCACCAGGTTTAATTTCACAGCAGCAAGTTTTAATTACAGCTCAAGTGTTGTGAAATTTATTGCGACAGTTAAAAATCTGACGTAAAAAGTATTTAAAATGGAAGGTAAAGCAACATCAGGAATGTGAAGGGAAGAGAGAGAACAACTATATTCATTCATTTTGTGCTTCCATGGCTATCCTGTCTCAGTTAAGTATAAGGACCATGGGAACAACATCATCATAAAATGCAATAAACACTCCTCAAAATGCTGTTTTCCATGTCCTTAGAGCTCTACAGGTAATGTCCTGGGAATCTGACAATATCCTATCCTAAAAATACCTCATTAGGAAGGATGCTTTCAAGTCCAGTAATGCAGGTAAAACACAGTGAGGCTATATTTATTAAAATACAAAATAAATAAATTTTAAAAGGTAGGATTTTTAAAAACTATTTTAAATTAAGGATCACAATAACAAAACTGTGCAACACAGATGCTGGTGGAGTATTTCCACACCAGGATGGTGGACTTGGAGTGACGAAAAACTAGGACATCAATGCTACTACCTGTGGCCCCTTCACGTCTGGGAATTAATTACCTTTGGCCTTTTTATATAACCTGGTGTCTTCTTCCATATGCTCAGGGAATAATAACTGAACAAAGGCAGCAAAAACCCCCCTGGCTTTCCCAAGAAAACATTTCCAAATTGTGAATTACAGTCGTTATTCCCCATCTCCTCTTTGCAATAATTTCTGCTGCAGTTTTTTGGTGGTTACATCACAAAGCACTGCAACAAATTACCCCTTAAATGAGCAGCTCCTGCAGTACTAATGCCAGGGCATATCCAGCACCCCATGGAATGTAATCCCCCTAAATTATCATTAGGCCTGTGGACATCCCATAAATCAACTCTCAAAGGTGCCCAGTTGAAAAAAAACAATTTATTTTTCAAGAGGTGCAGCTGTGCCCTCTCCTTGTATCCCCATTTCCAACAAAAAGCTCCGCAATCAGAATTTTCCTGATGACTCAGTTGATGCAAAATCTGGTTCTCGGGCTGGTATTTACTCAGGAAGGCTAAAAGGAGTAGGGCTTAATTTTGGAAGTGGAATAATTAGGCTGCATTCGAGCCCAGGATGAGTAACTGCACCATTTTAACTGTGTTTTTGCACTTCAACTCATCTGGGGGAAGAAACCAGGCAGCACAGAATATTAAAATCCAGCATGGGCGTGAGGGGTGAAAGACCTTCCCAGCAGAAAAATGCCCGTGGAAGGAAATTTCTCCTGAATTCATGGCTTCCTAAGGAAATAGAACATAACAGGCAAAGCAGCTTTTGGATTTTGTAAAAAGAGAACTCCTACTTCCCCTCGTATTTCTAGAGTATGAAACATAAACCCACCGCCCCCTGAATTCCAGGACCAAATTCCCTCCTGTGGGTTTCCAGACTTCTTGTCAAATTTCAATTAAATAAAATGGGGGGGTCACCTACGTAAATCCAGAAAATATTAATCTCTTTTACTGCCTCAGCTTAATCTCATACTCTGATCAACAAAAAAATATCACATTCAAACCTTAATTTTTCCCTGGAAGCCATCCCAGCTCTGATCATGTGCTCTCTCCATAGCATTCTGGTTCTTTCTGGAGATGGAGAGAACTTCTCATGGTTTGGACGAATTCCCCTGTCCCGTTTTTGAATAGGTAAGAAATAAATTCCACTACCCTTTTAAAATGCAGCATTTCAAATGCAGTCAGACTTTTCCACAGCATGTTACAGCTGGATTTAGGTTTGATTTTCCTGAGGAATTCCAGGTGATTAGAAAATATCATGTTGTTACACCCCTTCCAGTGTAATCCATAAACCTGGTAAACAGCAGGAACTCCCTGGTAACTCACCACCTGCATCGTGATAGCAGAAATTTTAAGGGAATTCTCTTATCCATAGGGGAGGCAGGACATGGGGAAGCTCCTGATTATGCCATGAAGAGTGTTGGCTGTATGACAAATTAATGAATTTTTCTGGAAGAAGGGTTACAGGATGGACAGCCAGGGAATCCATAATATGTGGGAGATGTGAAATCATACGACTCTTCAGTAGCACAAATTTGGGATATTTAGCATCAAAATTAATGATAATAAAAAGCAAGAAATGAACTTTTTGCTGCTTTACACCAAGGCCACAAGACCAAGCTGCAACGACACAAAATGGCGACAGGCTCAGGATCTGCCACAAACACCAAACCCCAGAGTTTGTACCGTTAAATGCAGATTTTTAAGCACTCGAGGCTCCCACAGGGAACATGAAGCACAGCACTAACCAAAATCACCAAAATCTGCAGCTGGATCAATAAATTAAAGGTATAACTAGAAGAGGATCCAGAGAAGTATAGAAATAATCCAGACTGGAATACAAGGCATAGAGCAAGAAGCTTTACAGAGACAGGTAAATTAAATTAACTCAGAAGCTGCTTGGATTGAAGGGGATTTTTAGCTTGTTTTCCCAAGCAGATGATTTGAGAGAACCTGGTCTCAGTCTCAAGCCTCTCAGGCTGGCCTGGAGCAGCTCCTTCTCTTGAAAAAAGGTTTCCCATTTCCTGGGAGCATTGATACACAAACCCTGGACCACAGAATAAACCTTCAAGGCTTCTCCATTTTCCACATCTAACCACTCCCTGGGAATAGATCCAGCTTTTCAGAGAATCCCAGACTGATTTAGGCTGGGAGGGACCTTAAAGCCCATCCCATTCCAACCCCCTGTCATCCCTACCTTCCACTAGTCCAAACCCTGTCCAACCTGGCCTTGAGCACTTCCGAGGATGAGCATTTTTGTGTCTCCTTCCATTTCTCACAGCAGAGATCCAATGCTAAAATATCCATGCAAAAGGCAGGCAGATGGTAATACCATGACAGATCCATGGAGAGTAGCTCAGGAATTGCAAGAGAAATCCATGAAATCAAAGCTGAGCCCTCCCTCAGGAACTCGCCCTACTGATGGATTTAGCAGCTTCAACAAGAGTTAACACCTCCAGGGAAAACGTTAATAGTTGTGTGACAAACCTGGAATATCTGAGGGAAAAAAATTAACAAGAATTCCTGTGTTTGCAAGGGAACTGGAGCAGAAAGTGAAGAGGAGTCGGGAATCAAAAACTATTGTCACCTCTGATGCAAATACATGATTTAAAAGAAAATACCTCCAAGCAATGCTGAAACATAAAATAACCTCAGATTTAACACTGAACCCCCTCAAAGGGTAGAATAAATGTGGAGTTTTCCACAAAATCCCAAGTGAACACAGGGGGTGGAAAACATTTCTCCCGAGAAAAGAATGAGTATCTTTGATTTTGAATTTATCTAGAGCTGCTTTTTTTAGCACAACACACACTCAAAATTCAAAATTAGAAGCGAACCCATTAAACAGCAGCTGTGGGTTTGCACCTTCCTATGCTGAAGCAACATTTTGCTGACCAAATATTTGAACTGACAAAACTAATTAGTGCTTTTTAAAGGATCCAGCAAACCAAACCAGAAATGGGTGAGACAGAATAATTTTTCTGGAATGATCCTTAAACTCCAGCACATTAAGCTGGAATTACAAAACACATTCTGGGCACCTTCTGCAGCTGTTTTATCCCATTGTGCAGTACTGGTCTGTACTGAACTGAACCTTGTAAGGATAAACTCAGCCTAAGCTAAACTCTATCCCACTTTTTCTTGTCTCCTTTCCATACAAGACACAGGCCCCTCTGGATGAGGCCATTCCATGTTGGGTCTGCAACCAGGAATGTCCACCATAAAGGGATTTACTTGGAAACAAAAAATACAGCTGTGCCACACAACACAACATTATTATGGACTGTTCCCTGCTGCTTCCAAGGGGAAGAATTCCAGGGAAATTCTTGATCCTTAACCACAACAACAGGTTTCATATCAGTGCTCTCAGGAAGTATTTGAAAGGGAAAAAATAGGTTTATAGGACAACAGAAAGCAAACTTTCCTTCATAATTCCCTAATAGTGTTTAAAAACCCCTGCAGTAAGACAGGAAGAATTGTATAAATTAATATATGGGATTGCTACTAATGAGCATAAATATCTCTAAATAGAAAAAAACTCTAAACACACAAGTATCTATAAAACCCTTTGAAAAATCCCTGGAAATGCCCATTACAAGTTGTTTGTTTACCTGCAATG